ATGGAAAGGATAAGAGTCTAGAAGAACATAGAGAATTACCTGGAAGGCAAATCATGATAGAAAGATTATGTAATAAGCACTCTGACTACTTAGGAAGAACTTTTTAAAGCACCATTTACATATATGCCAATACAATCATTGATTCTTTCCTATTCAGAAAGGAGGTCCCTAAGAGTCTTTGTAATCAGTTCTGTATATACTTAAAAGTCATAATAAAATGTTTCTTTAACATATTCTTAAATAAAACATTATGCTAATTGAGAAAGCCCTTACATGACCCCCTCAAATTTAGTGATTCTAAGATGAATAATTTCCCACATTTTAACATCTCTGAAATTGGAATGCATTTCACAAATGACAGTATCCTACAATTGACTTGGCTCCTTCATCTTTTGGCAGCCCTACTGCTCTGGACGAAGCTGAGGCAGGCACCTCAGCTCCCTCCCACCCTTCTGACCTGATTCACACCCCTATCCTGTCCCCTGGACAATTTGAACCCTTCCCAGTGAGAAGCACCTGGACTATAAATGCACACACTTTAAGACAGGTGGATTGCCTTGGGCCATTAATGGCTCATGATATCTATTAGCTGAATAAAGCATCCATTAACAACTCTTCTTTGTTTTAAATACAAAGAAGAAATACTAAGCAAACTCATCTGAGACTGAAAGGCTAAAAAAATCTTAATATGTCTACAATAAAATGTATAAATGATAAAAAGCAAATGCAATCATAATGCATTTTAAATTTGATGCTGGTACACAGGTACACAGACCAACAGAACAGAATAGCCCAAGAATAAATCCATGCATATATAGTTAACTAATCTTCAACAAGGGTGCCAAGAATAACAATGGAGAAAGGAGAGTCTCAACAAATAGTGTTGGGAAAACTTGATATCCATACACAAACTTGATATCCATATACAAAAGAATAAAATTGGCCCCTTATCTCACATCATACATAAAGATCAACTCAAAATGGATTAAAGATTTAAACTTAAGACTTGAATCTCTAAAACTCCTAGAAGAAAACATAGAAAGTCCAAACATTGGTCTTAGCAATGACTTTAGATATGATACCAAGAGCACAGGCAACAAAAACAAAAATTGAATAGTGGGGCTATATATGCATATATATATATATATATATATATATATATATATGCATACATATACATGGAACTCCACAAGTCAACAGCAAAAATTTAAGTAGCCCAATTAAAAAAATGGGCAAAGGACTTGAATAGGCATCTTTCCAAAGAAAACATACAAATTGCCAACAGGTATATGAAAAGATACGTATTATCACTAATCAAGGAAATGCAAATTGAAACCACAATAAAGCATAGCCTCACACCTATTAGGATAGCCATAAAATAAAAAAAAAAAACAAAAAAAAAAAACAAGGGACACCTGGGTGGCTCAGTTGGTTGAATGTCCAACTCTTAATTTTGGCTTAGGTCAGGATCTCAGGGTTGTGTGATCAAGCCCTGCACTGGACTCCCATGCTCTGCAGAGAGTCTGCTTTGGGATTCTCTCCTTCTCCCTTTGCCCCTCCCCCCATTCACATGCATGTGCGCTCTCTTTCTAATATAAATAAACCTAAAAAAAAACGAGTATTGATGCGGATGTGAATAAATTAGAACACTTGTAAACTGTTGGTGGGAATGCAAAATGGTGGCAGTTGCTATGGAAAGCAGTATGGACATTCCTCAAAAAATTAAAAGTAATATATGATCCAGCAATCCCACCTAAATGTGCATTGACTGATAAACGGATAAAGGAAATATGGTATATACATACAATGAAATACTATTCAGCCATAAAAAAGGACATGACATATGCAACATGTATAAACTGAGAGAACATTATGCAAAGTGAAATAAGCCAGTCACAGAAGAACAAATATTGCACAATTACATTTACAGAAAGTATCTAAAACAGTCAAACTCATAGAAACAGAGAGTAGAATGGTGGCTCCCAGGTAATGGGGCAAGGGGGAAATGAAGAGTTACTGTTCAATGGGTATAAGTTTCATTTATAGAAGACAAATAAGTCTAGATATCTGTTGTACTACACTGCACCTACAGTTAACAATAATTTTAAGACAGTAGATCTCATGTTAAATATTCTTACTACAATAAAAAAATTGGTGGTATCTCATATTCAAAGAAAGGGTAGTAACAGATGTTCTCATATGATATGTCTTGATGGCTCTCAGGTGTTCCCAGCTCTATACCTACCTCTAATAGCTCCACAGGCTCCAGTGATGTGACCCATTTTCTTCTTTCCAAGGACCCTTTCTTCCTCAGTGAAGGGAATGGCACTAAATCTCACTGAGAGATACTCTCCTCCATGTCACCAAAAACATTTATTTTCAGGCTGCCAATTTCAACCTCCTCTCTGGAGTTCAACTGAATGGATCTGTACCACAACTCTGACTATGAACATGGATAAAGGTTAATGCCCAGGAAACTAAATTTCAGAAAGGTGTTTAGTTTCAGAAATGAAGCAATGCTCATCAGCCCCTCCTATTGATGCCAGGTGAGCATTCTTACCTGTGGTTGCCTACACAGGACAAGGCCTTTCATATAAGCAATCTCAGTAATTTCAAGTCTTCCACAGTGACATTTCATTTAGTGGGTGCCCTTATCCTTTATATTTTGACAACTACCCATTTTCTTATAAACTGAGTTGTACACAAGAGCTGTATGAACAAGGAGAACAAAGCTTCAAGATCTATTCCATCAGGTTTAAAGGTTTTGGACTCTCTGTTTTATAGCTTACCAGAGAGCAACAAATCTAGTTCTATTCAGGGGATTTAATTCACATCTCATTAACTACCTTGGCAAAACCCAACATTAGCTTTGAAAGGCTAATTTGATTAAAGAATTGATGGACATTACTTCTCTCAGACTAATGAAGTTAATTTTAATGGAGGTAATAATGTCTCCCTAGAAGATTACTGTGAGAATGAAATAAGCTAGCCAGCATATTCTAAGTGTTTTGTAAAGTATGAAATGCTAAACAAATATACGTGATTATCACTTCCTTTGTTGTAGTCTCTAGACTCCATCTCTTGTGTCTTTCTCTATCTCTTCCGTAGAGGTCTTACCTAATTATTTAGCTGAGGGAAATCCTTACGCCTGGCCTACTATCACCTCATGTTCTCAACAGGAACTTGATTCAATATACATATTTGGAAACCTACCATGGACAAGTCATAGATCTGTTACAAAAATATACAAGATGTTAAATACACACACACACACACACACACACACACAATGTATGTCACATTCCAGTGAGGCCACTATGCATACATTTTGAACCATTATTTGGCTGAGAACCAGTTAGACAACTCTTAAACTCTTACACTGACTGCATACGGGGCTTAGAAACTGGAGATTAGAGGAGTATTTATGGAGAAAATTTGGAAGTAGCTGTTTGGTACTCTAATGCCAAGAAGGTAGGTGGGAGATGCTGCCTCCTTTGCCCGGATTAAGAAAGAAGGGTTTCAAAGGGAACATCAGAGTTTGCATGTGAGCTTCTGCACTGGTGTCCGACTTCCTCCTAAAAAATTTAAAGAGTAAGAGATAGAATGCCTAGGAATGAGCCAAAGAAATAAAATGACTATGTCAGGTACCCGGGCTCCAATAGGTTGTCAGTGGAAACAGTAGTGTTTCCCATGGACTCAGTGTGGGTCATGGTGCAGAAGGCCAAGGATAGTTGCCTGAGGTCATTTACAAGGGCCAGACAGAGTAGCACCCCAGTAGAGGCAATAGTGACCATGATAATCAAGCATATTTAACCTCTAAAACCCAATATCATTTTTGTTTGATTATGGTTTTGAGAGAAGAAATTGTCTTATTAACTAGTTATCTGGATTGGTGTAGGCATCCCTCTCATAGAATGTGCTGCATGGTCCATAAAGGGTGTCAAGGGTGTCTTTAGGTGATTTCACAGACATATCTAACATAATGGAAACAAGAGAATTCAAGTGTATGCCACACAGACATGCCTTTAGATCATATGACATTTAGCGATATTTATGCTTAAACCCACTTTAATATTTAGTATTAAATTAGTGAGAAGGCAGTGTAGTTATTAAAAAATAAAAGGATGGAAAAAAAATAAAAAATAAATAAAAGGATGGGAACAATTCTGTCCCAAGATAATATTATGACACAGCATTTAAAAAATCTATCAGAATTTTTGCAACATTTTCTAATGTATTAATCAATATATTATGTGTTAATTTTATAGAATATTAACTATACCATGCAGAGCCATAGTGAAAAGCAGTAGATACTGTCTATTTTAAAGACGGAGGATCTGCAAGTAAGTTTAAGAAACTGAAGATTGCACCCTGGGAGAAAAAGATTAGTGCTGAGAAAACCATCCACTGAATAAATCTCTGCCTATACTTCCATTGGAATAACTTTCAAAGTTGTGTTGAATATACTGACAATGTATAAAAAAGAAAACCTCTAACCACAGCCTTCCTACCCACTGGTAACACAGGTACTTGCTCTTTTTTTTTTTTTTTTTTTTGCAGTTTTACACATATTCTGTCTGTATCACCTCTGCAGGAGACCAGATCCCTCCCAAGACTCAAGAAGTACAAAAGTTGTTTGAGTTCATACTTTGGTTGCAGATGACAAAAACCGACAAAGACCCACCCCAAGTGAAATGGGAGACTTGTGGACTCATACAAAAGCATGGCTGGAGGGAAGCTGGCCTGAGGCATATTGAGAACCAAGAACCCAAATCCCACTAGGATGCTCCTTACTTAGAACTCAATGCACCTGTATTTCAGCTTCTTCATGTCCAAATGGACCTTAGCTGGCAGGATGTGTGTATGTATGCATTTGTGAGAGAGACAGAGAGAGAAGGGGAAAGGGGAGTGTTGGTGACAGATGCACATTTCATTTATTCTTTCAGGAGAAATTATGTTCTTTGGTGAGATAAACAAACAAAAAAAAAGCAACAACTTGATAAGAAGCAGTAAAGTACGTGAACGATTTATTGTTGGTCTTTCCATTAAGCTCTAGTATATTTTCCCAAACAAGAAAAAGGACAATCACAGTGATCTACATCAGTTTGGATTATTTACACTATATCTTAATGTGTCCAATATCTATGGAACTCTTATAAAGTCATCTACTTAGGTTTTACCACTCAAAGTTGGGAACATTCTTAAAATCACATTATCCTCAAGTAATGGATTGGAATTATAATCAACCAAGTCTGCAAATACAGCAACCATCAATAACACACATTTTTCCAAATTATAATTCTAACAGATATGTATTCTTTGGGCCTCACAAATTCCAAGAGAGTCCTTTTTATCAGTACTGGGAGGATATGCCTTCAATCCTATAGCCAGTCAGTTAAGACTATATTAGAGAGTGTGATACTAAAAAATCCTCTCTCCCCTCTAATATGATACATGACACAATTGTAGTTCTACCTGAAGATTGGGTGAGTTTTAATGATAACCATCACCCAAAAATATGCATAAAATTCCTCTATCTGGTGCCAGAGCAATGATATATTGCACTATGTGCCTACCTCTGTCCAGAGGACAAGATGTCTGACCCATTTTTAGGCTATCTAGACCTTTCCCCCATTTGATACTCAGGAGCTTAGAGTATCCCTTGGGGCAAACGGGTGGTAAGGATGACACTTCTGAGGACAACTTCCTTACACAACCCACTTCACCATGTTTATTCTTTTAACAATAAAAATTCACTGTTCTTCAAATCCTTGACTTGCTCATCAGCATGTCCTCTATTTGTATAAAGCTAAATTAAAAGTTGTTTATTCAAGGAAATAGCCTAAGCAGAAAAAAGAACTGTGTTCTGTAGAAAAAGGCATTCAATATTTAGAAACTTTTCTTTTTTTTTTATTTATTTATTTATTTATGACAGTCACAGAGAGAGAGAGAGAGAGGCAGAGACACAGGCAGAGGGAGAAGCAGGCTCCATGCACCGGGAGCCTGACGTGGGATTCGATCCCGGGTCTCCAGGATCGCGCCCTGGGCCAAAGACCGGCGCTAAACCACTGCGCCACCCAGGGATCCCTTTAGAAACTTTTCGAAACAGAAATAAGAGAGCTTGAAAAGAAAGAAAAAATAATTTTTAATTCTGTTGTTATTGTGACTGGATTCATGATAAATTACCCCACAGCCCCTTGTGGCCTCAGAGGTGGTCTGTACAAGTAGCCCACTAGGCCTCAATAACATGGAGAAAGCCTCTTAGGGACCCCTCTGAATACACACAAATACTGTACTATTTTAAAATGATAAAACCGACTAAATCAATTTAGGTTTACAACCCTCTTCTCATGATAAACCTTAGTTTTTGGCAAAGCACAGATGGTTGGTTTATAAAAGCAACTTCTTGGTTGGACAGCAGCACCAAAAGACCTTGTACCCCTTGGTCTCTCCTATAAACCAGTTACTTCTTCTATACAGAGATGTTCCTGTTTGCCTTACTGCACATCCATTTAGTTATACAAATAAGGGAGGAGAAGGGATGCTTTAGGGAAATAAGATGCAATCACAAAATCAGAGGCTCTAAAAGAAAAGTCACAAGAGGCCAAAAGAAAAACATTATCATTATGACAGCATGTCTCCTACTCAAAATTCACACATATGTTATCAATCAAAACTAGTACACTGCTGCCTTGGGTATACTCTGGGTGGAGTTATTTTTCTCCCTCATTCTTTTTTTTACATGTTATGATTTAGTTAGGAGGAAAAGAACATCAAAGAAAGTCTTCCTAAGGGCCCATCTGAGTATAATTAAGTGTACCTATCACAAAAGACAAAGATAAATCCAATGTGAGCACCAACTGTAAAGATAAGCCTTCTCAGCACTTACAAAACAAGTAAGATAATCATTTATATATTTTTTTTGTCTTTCACTAAATGTCATAGCACACTTGAGAGAACAAAGTCTATATGGCCATATGTAGTATAAAATGCTTGAAGAAAACTAGTCAAAAACTGCTCATGAGACATACAATTATGATTACTGATATCTTTTCAATGAAATCCTATGTGATTAAAATGAAAAACACGCAGTGTGGGACAAATGTCTATCCCGCATCTCAAGTTGTGATCTGCTGCATTGGCATGAGTTTTGGTGAAACCTAGTAAAAGAAAGAGAAAAAAAAAATGACCAAATTGTAAAAATAACCACATGGCATAAACATCTCCAAACTTGAATGATGTTGGCAACAAACAGCCTTGCCATGGACATCACCTAGAGTTTCCTCATTATTTTCTACTCTAAATCAACTAGACAGACTTTTCGGTTTACATTTTGAGCGTTTCCTCATTAGTTTCCATTCTAAATCAATTTGACAACTTTTCTGTTTACATATTGTGTAGTCAGTAGTTTGCAACCTTTTTGCACATTATAGTTCCTAAATTAAGGATTGTTAAGACTGGCAACAAATAGGGGGTGGAGAAGGAGCAGACAGAGACAATAAAGGGTTCAGATAACCAAGCTCTCCACTGAATGGATCACTGAGCTCTGAGACTGATGCCTCTGAGACTACTTAAAACAAGACACTGAGGAAAGCACAAGTCTTAAAATGATCAAAATAAGTCATCAATTCACAATTTTGCTAAGAAACAATATAGTCATTGGATAAACTGGATATATATAAATGAAGAGAAGTATGATGCGGCAAATTTTATCAGAAATTTCATATTCAGAATGGAAATGATATAAAGGCAGTAAAAAGATTCCAAGTTGTTTTTAAAAAGGAGGCAATAGCATTACAAATATTAAAGATTGACCATAATTATCAATATACAGAATAGTACATGCATTCCTACAAGCCTTGAAGCAGAGAAAAATGAGGGCAGGTCTAGATCAATGGTAGAGGTGGTGGAAGAAGAAACTTAGCCAAACTGTAAGTGGTTTAGCTTAATTTTGACTGTATCTTTTGACTTAGTATCTTTCAAGGTGTAATGCCAGGTACAGATGTCTCTGTTCAATCTGGCAAATATCCACTGAATCCTAGTAAGGAACAGTGCCCATGTAAAGCACAATAAGAGATATTAGAATTCAAATGATTTTTTGAGCACCTCAAGAATGAAGTGATGGAAGTGAGCATACCTGGCACTCTGCCTTCCAGAATAAACAGTTAACATTTTGTTTAATTAATGAACAAAGGAATGAATCAAGGATTAAATAAGCTTCAGAAAACCAGAAGAACGGTTTTAATAGAGGTTAAGATAGTATTAAAAATAGAAGGAGTAGGCAATTATTTGGCTGTGATGAGGTTAAATATTTTTAGTTCACTTATAAATTGTTTCTGTATTAACTCTTCACAATGTCAAGAGTTAATGCCCCCTTTTCCATTTTTCTACTCAAAGAATGACATGATCAGAATAATGGCTTCATATATAGCTTAAAATAAATGACAGCTCATTCAGACTTGCCAGTTCCAAGAGCAGATATATAATAATAGACAAAATAATAGACATACAATAAATAGACAAAAATCACAGCCCACATGTGCACAGATCTTCAACTCTACTGAAAAGAATAAAAGGCATATGGCTTTGAGTATTTAGAAAGTGTGTCTCACAAACAACCCATTTTCTTTTTTTAAACAACAGAGCATCTGTAGAAATAATTTAATGAAATAAAACTATATTTCTGGGAAAAAGATAATTTCCAATAGATGCTTTGTGCCATTTCCTTTAAAAGGAAACTGGACATCTTAATTTTATAAACTAAACATCTGATAATTTTCCTTGGCATATTGACCTTGTTTTGGGTTCTTACTATCATTTGTATCCTCAATGTGGACTCTGACTTCTATGAAAAAAGAAAAAGATGAAGCTTTATGTAGATTGATTTGGCCTATTTTTGTAATGAAAAACATCTACCTAACAACCATTTTTCATCTTGTTCTCTCACAGTCTCATCAACATCTTAAGCTCATCTTAAGCTCAAGCAAGATTATCCCACTAAGGTGATCTACAGGGTGGCATAAGACTATATGATTTAAGCATAGAAAGTAAGCCAACAATTTGTCTTCCCAGTCCACTGAAATCCCAATGGTATACTGTTTAATTCTGGTATAATGTCAGTTCATAACAGGTACTGAGTATAAATTTATTCAACTTAGCAAAGAATATCTACAGCTGACTTCTTTCATATTTCACTGCAAACATATAAACAAACAGTATTCTTATTTAATTTTTTGCCACTGGTGGTTTAGGTGTATTCCTAATTAGACCGAGGCCCTTGGGAATAGGAACTATACCAATTTGTTCTATTTTATTCGTATTTCATAACTCAATATGGGACACAACTGGATGTTTAATAAATAATCAGGGATTACTAATGACCTCTGGAAGTTTATTTTACCATATGATGTTCAAATATGGACTCAAATTTAAAAACATTTTTTAATTAAAAAAAAAAACAGAAGGAAATATTCTTTCAAAAAAAGTCCACAGACATATATGGTAAAGAAAAACTATTTAAACTATACATAAAGTAAACATAAAACTATTTTATGTAACATAAGCATGTATTAAAGAAGAAAGAAATGAATAACCATTTGAATTAACTACACAGTGGAAAGAGAGACTTTGGAGACAATTCAATTTAAGTGGTGGGATATCACTTTCCCCTTTTCTTTCTACTTTGGCACATCAAGTAACTGGCAGTAACACACTGAATGATATACAGAAATTTGACATTTTCATTAGCTGGTCACAGCTTTAGTATGAGAAGACGTTAGCTAAACATTTTCAAAATTACTTTGACCTAGGTTTTTACCTGCCCCCCCCCTTTTTATCATGCAAAAACCTGGTTGTCTAACTATTCCCTTCTAGAATGTTTATTACCAGATACACAGCAAAGACTGAGTCTTTTCTCAAGAAGAAATTCTGACTAACTTATATAAAGTCACATAGAGACTAAAATACTGCCCATACTGTAATAATCATATGGAATAGCCTCTAAAGTATGACATGAAGTATCTTCTGAATTATCAAGTAAGGAAATGTTATCTTCAAGGTAATTTTATGATTAAATGTATTTTATCGATAACCCAGCTATTCCACAGAACATATTATTAATTAGAACATTCCAGTCTCTAGCATTACAGAAAAACAATCTGCTCTATGTGATTTCATCTGTCAGGGTCTAAAGAGATGCCATTGATCATCAGATCCTCAAAAGCGAGTTCTTTTGTTGAGATGGTTCAGCTGCTACCACACCTTTTCATTTTCAGGACAATGCTAACATACAAATTAACATTTTTATTTCAACAGCCTAATTTGGAGGAAACACGATTACATGTCAATGTCCAAAGAAAAGGAGGGGTGATATGGTACTAAAACAGAAACCAGAGGTATTTTTCGATGCACCCGGACATGAAAACTACCACTTAAAAGAAAATAAAAAAAGCAAATACTGTAAAACTCTACCTTTTTCATCTTGACTTACTTATATATGAATGGGAAAAAAAAAAAAAAGATAGTAAGGGTCCTTTCTTTGCATACTCTCCTTTGTAGCAAAGAATTGAAGATGAGGTGGATTTCAAAATGGTTACCTTATGAAGAAGAGGTTAACTTATCCGCAGAGGGAAAACATACAAAGAAGAGCTGATATGCAAGAATTGTTTGCTTTTATCACTGGAGTAAGGAATTCTAAATAGTTCAAGTATAAACAAATCTCTTTTTTCCCCCCAGGGGTTACTGAAAAGCTAATTAAAGATGTGCTTTTTGTGCTAGGTATTGCTGTCAGACTTCTTTTTTCCAAAGGGAAATTCAAAAAAGGTTAATAGACAAAGACCCTCATACAGGACCAGAAACAGTTATATGTGGATAATGAATTATGCAGCAAAATTGTTTTTACAGACATTTGTTATGCACTAATAGGTACCAGCCAAGCATGTAGTACCTAAGGAAGAGGTCTATGAAATATATGCATGATTTATCGAGTAAGTTTTGTTAAATTGCTTTCTCTAGTTTGGGTAGCGGCAAATTTCTTCCCATTACAAATATATTTCACTTTAAGTAGTAGATCCCTTCTTAAAAAGGTATGTGAGAAGCAAATTCTTTTCCTGCAGGTTTTCAGAGACTTTTCACCTTTACTTTTGATTAACTTCAAATGGACTGAGCCATCCTCTCAATTCCCATTAGGTAGGAGACCAGTGATTCATTAACAAGCACTTAAAGAGTGATTATGTTATAATAGTATTCTCTTCATTTTAAAAAGAGATTTGGGATTTCTTAAATGTATACTCCCCTAACGTATTATGTGCTTTATAAATCTTAGTTTTTATGCACTAGGTTTTTCTTTAAATGCAGGATATACTATTTTGTGACTATAAGTCAATGTCAGAGCTCAACACTCTAATATGTTCAATGGATGGAATAATCAGGCATCAAAGTTAATCAAAGAGAAAGCCATAAGTCATAGATAAGTTTAAAATAAGGCAGTACCATTTCTCCACGTGTGTGGCTCAAATTTTCGAGTTAATTTAGCCTAGCCTAGCCTAGTTCCTGTTTCCAGCAGCCCCTGGTGGTTCTGACTCCTGAGCCAAACACTGGCCGTGAGTCAGAGCCCGCTCCTGCTCCCACCTGCTCTCATCTGAAGGCACCCTCCCTTTCACTCCTGTTCTCTGTAAAGGTCAACTCCAAAAATGATCACAAATTAATGGTTCATGTCCTGTAAACACCCATTAATCAAGCCCATGATATAGGACAAGTGGCTGGATTTGTTCACAGAAACACTTACTGCAAAATCACACCCGGTGCTCTTTTTTATGTCATCCACAGTCAGGCCTTCCCAGAGTTCAATCAGAGTCAGGCCTTTCTTGTTGTCCACATCAAACACAGCCTGTTGGAATCAAGAAAACGATGACAATTTCTATTACAGTAATTATTTTATAATACAAAACAGAAATAACCTCTCAAGTTCTTAAAAAAGAGACAAGATCCAGGACAAAAGACTCTGAAAATCAGCAATGAAAAAATGTCAACTCTAACAATTATATTTTGGTGCGAATAAATGCCAACTCCCTAATCGGCAATTAGCTGCAGAGCATTGTTGATGCCAGAAAATAAATGAGTGTTGACTATTGATGGCACTTGCCACTTCTGTTAACCAATTTTTGTTGTTGTTAACTACTTTCCTTTAGTCAGGTCTAACACTTCTGGTCAAAATTTCAATTACATGAATAACGATGATGTGAAGAAAGAAAGGAATGAAGAAAAGTAGGGAGGGAGGAGAAATTTGGAAGGCAAATGCACAAGGATGGTGGGGAGAGCTGGGTAAAGAGTTACAGGAAATAAAAGGCAGGCAGGCACTCGGAAGTGCCTGTGAGCAATTATGAATGGAGAGTTATCCTGATCCTGAAAGATCAGCTAAATATTACAACTTTCCCTTTAAGTCCTGTGAAGACATACAGGTCCAAGAGGATATCATGAGAATCTCTCTCTGGTATGCACACCAAATGAAGATGCTTATGTTTAAGACAAGCATGAGAAGGCGAACCTCCCACTGCAAACTTTCCTTTACAACATTCTGGTTGGTACCACCACGTGATGGTAGTGCCAACTAGTATACTGTGACCTCAGGAGGCTGACTCAATTTATCGTAACTGATTCAGGACATCTGCTGTTATAGTATGCAATATGACAACCTGAGTGGAAGGGACTGACAAAGTCATTTAAGATAGCCTCCCACTCAGGAATCCTTTAAAACATTCTTCTGAGATGGTCACTGGGGGCTTTCTGTTAGGAAGCTTTCTGTGTCAGCAGGCCCATTTGCCTCAGGACAGATTAGATGATCAATGTATGGGAAGCTCTGACCATGAGAGCCCCAAACTGCTTCCCCCTGAATTCCACTTGCTGGATCTATAAGTTGTTTTCCAGAGCAACAGACACTATTCCCTCTCTTGGCTTTCACAGTCGGTTTCCTCTTACCCAGATTTAATTATGTTTCCCATATCCCTCTTCCCCTCCAATTTACCTTATATTCACAACTATTATTCACAGGCTGATCTTTATTTTCAGCTAGCTTGGAAGTCAAACCCTAAATTGCCATTTTAAACAGACTCCTGGTTAGGAGGCTTAATTTGAAGATTCAGCCCCATGTAGAGTAAAAGGATCTGGCTTTCAAGCTAGACTGGAATTCCAGCTCTGCCACACACTAGCTAATTGGTCTTTGGTGAACCGGTCTTTGCATGTGTACATGGATATCAAAAAACCCTACTTCCCAAGATCCTTATGCAGGACAAATATAATAAACATCCTCTGAGTACCTAGCAACATGCCTGAGACATAGCAGGGGCACCATAACTGCACGCTCTTTCTCCTTAATAGCTTAACTTATTGTCACTTGTGTGTGAACTCAAATCAAAGACCTGAAATGTTTATTATTCTCCAGTCAACTAATTTTTTTCCCCCAAAAGCAAAATATTTTTTAAAAATAATAAATTTATGTTTTATTGGTGTTCAATTTGCCAACATACAGAATAACGCCCAGTGCTCATCCCGTCAAGTGCCCCCCTCAGTGCCCGTCACCCATTCACCCCCACCCCCACCCTCCTCCCCTTCCACACCACCCCTAGTTCATTTCCCAGAGTTAGGAGTCTTCATGTTCTGTCTCCCTTTCTGATATTTCCTACCATTTCTTCTCCCTTCCCTTCTATTCCCTTTCACTATTAATTATATTCCCCAAATGAATGAGACCATATAATGTTTGTCCTTCTCCGATTGACTTACTTCACTCAGCATAATACCCTCCAGTTCCATCCACGTTGAAGCAAATGGTGGGTATTTGTCGTTTCTAATGGCTGAGTAATATTCCATTGTATACATAACCACATCTTCTTTATCCACTCATCTTTCGATGGACACCGAGGCTACTTCCACAGTTTGGCTATTGCCCACAAGCAAAATATTAAGAGGACCAGTGAGACCTGCATTCTCTGTTTGATGCATCCATACCTGATTGATTTTACTGGAAAAGAGGATTTAAATTTTGGAGGAAATATTCTGGCAAATTATCTTCCTGTTTGCACATTTTTATATTCCTAAAAAAAAACCCTCTTTTTTCAGCAGAAATATGTGTTCTGAGAGGGGAAAAAATGGTCATTTTGGAATGTCTGAATGCTGCATTAGGTTATTTAATTTTAAAATGACAACTTTAAAAAAATTTTAAATGGACACTTTTGCTTTGCAGAAAATGTGTCTGGAGCATTATTCATACTGATTTTCCTTTTCCTGCATTATGAACTATAAATTTATCTAAATGGAGGAAATAAAAAAAAAAAGAGCCTCCAGACTGTGTTATTAAGAATAGGCAGGGAATGATTTGAGAAGATAACTGTGATATCATGAATATAAGGCTTCAGTGATCAGGGAGAGAAAAATCTATGGCTTTTAAAAAACTTTTAACACCTTTACCAAACCCTAATTAGCTCTCAAGGTCATATACTGAAAAGCCAAGCATCTATTATTAAAATGAAGGAAATTTACTTTTGAAATATTTAGGAAGATTTCCATTTAGCGGTGTAAAGTATAAACAAAACCTTGATAAAAATGGAGACTACATTACAGATAAAGCAGTTAATCATAGCCCAGCTTCTGGTAAAGAAAGCATCTTTCACAACCTCATTCTAGCAGCCCCAAACTAGGAAATCAGGGTCAAAACATCTCCAAGGCCTCTTTCAAGTGGCAAACCAATGGTATCTTCCTCAAAGTTGAAAATGGAATTCTAGTACCACACCTGCCACGGCAGGGCTTAAAGCATTCACTGCCCTTAATGGTACTGCATCTTCATTCACTCATTCAACAAAGATTTCTTGAGTACCTACTGTGTCTAGAGCACAGGGGTAAATATGCACCATTCCCTTACCTGAAGTTCCACGGCTGCCTTTCACTTTGTCCATTTTTTGCTATCCAATGTCATCTATAGTAAAGGTTCCAATTATCCCCATATGCTAATACTTCCACAAGTTTAGTTCAATACTGACTTCTCCCTTCTGAGCTCCAGACCCACAGCTCTAATTGTTTATCAGAAATCTCTGACTGGAGGGACACCTGGATGGTCCACTGGGTTAAGCATCTGCCTTCTGCTAGGTCATGATCAGGGTCCTGGGATCTAGGCCTGTGTCAGGCTCCCTGCTCAGTGGGGAGTCTGCTTCTCCTTCTTCCCCCCTGCCCCCACCCATGCTCACTCTCTAACAAATAGATAAAATCTTAAAAAAAAATCTCTGACTGGATATTCAGGATGTTAACATGTTCAAGAATATCAAAGAGAGTATATCCAAACAGAACCCATTCTTTTCCTATCTCCCACTGCTCTTCCTCGTCTCTTCCTATGGTCTCGGCTTCATTAGGAAATATTAGGAAGCATCCTCTGCTTTGGCAGCCATGTCCAATTCATCATCTAGCTAGGTTGAGTTCATCTTGGTCTCTCAAATCTGTCCTTCCGTCCTGTGGCTTACAACCTTGACATTTCTGGCCTAGATCACTGCAGGAGTCTTCTAACTGGACTCTGCCTCATCTCTTCTCTCCCTATTCTGCATAAAAGCTACAGAGTTCGGGGATCCCTGGGTGGCTCAGCGGTTTAGCACCTGCCTTTGGCCCAGGGCACAATCCTGGAGTCCCGGGATTGAGTCCCATGTCAGGTTCCTGGCATGGAGCCTGCTTCTTTCTCCTCCTCCCCTCTCTCTCTTTCTATCATAAATAAATAAATAAATAAATAAATAAATAAATAAATAAATAAACAAACAAATAAATAAATAAATAAATTTTTTTTTTTTAAAGAAACTACAGGGTTCTTTCTAAAATGCACATCTAATTGATCTAAAAACACCGAAGGGCTCCCAACTGCCTTCCAGATAAAACCCAAATTTCTTAACAAGGCATTCACATTCATTCATTCACTCATTCATTTATTTTTAAGAGAGAGAATGTGTGTGTGTGAGTAGGGATAGGGGAATGGGCAGAGAGAGAGGGAGAGAGAATATCAAGCATGCTCCACGCTCAGTGAGGAGCCCTACATGGGGCTTGATATCATGATCCTGAGATCATGACCTGAGCTGAAATCAAGAGTTGGAGGCTCAACTGATAGAGCCATCCAGGCACTCCCACATTCCTTCATAAATTTAGCCTTTCACTGTCTTTTCAACGGTAGCCTTTGGAGCCTGGTCTTGCCCTCACTCTACTCTGTTCCACTGGCAGGTCCTTGGGTAGGCTATTTATTTTGTAAACCACCATGATACTGCCTATTTTCTTTCCTTTGTGCCTAGAAGGGCCTCTTTGGTCTTATTCTCACTTGTAAACTCCTACTTACCGTTCAAGACTCATCACTCATCTAATCAATTTTCTCATTAGGAGAAGTGGAGTCCATTTATTCAACAAGCATTCACTGTGTACAGGCAAACACCATGCAAAATACTGGATAAACAGTAATGAGTGAGACAGGCAGAGCTCAGAGGTTATTTTAATACAGTGGTCAGTGCTGAGTTAGGTCATGTTCTAGGATTCAGAGAAGCACCCACAAAGCTTTTGAAGAGATAGGGAAGACTCGAGAAAGAAAAATATAACTGAGACATAAAAAAATGAGCAGAAATGAGCCAGATATAAAGGGTGGGAAGAGCAATTCCAGGAAGGGAAACAGGATGTGCAAAGTCTCAGGAGAACACGGGGGTGGGGGGTGGGGTGGGGAGGTGAGGAAGACAACATAATTCACACCATTTTAATACAGCTGAAGTGAGAAAGAGAGAAAGAGATAGGAGAAGGAGAGTCTGTAACATGCCTTGCAAAACACATGAAAAGTTTATATTTGGGGCACCTGGGTGGCATGGTTGGCTAAGCATCTAACTTAGTGTTGGCTCAGGTTGTGATTTCAGGGTCATGTGACAGAGCCCTGCATCAGGCTCTGTACTGAGGGTGGAGTTTGCTTAAGTGTCTCCCTCCACACCTCCCTATTCATGCTCTGTCTCTAAAAATAAGTAAATGATTATTTTTAAAAAAGGAAAGAAAGAAAAGTTTGTATTTGATACCATTAGCAGCTTTCCCGACACTCTCCCCAGGCTGTTGGGCAGCCTCCTTGCACATTCCTAACTCACCATCTGACACATATCACTATCCTGGCCCTTATCACGTATACGGCTCAAACTACAGGTCCTGCTGGAGGCATGGTGGTGTCTAGCCTCCCTGAATGTGCTCCCTCACGGCAGAGACTTTCTCTTTCCTGTAGCACACTGTTAAGAATACTCTAGTTCAGACAAAATGTTTACAAAATGCTTATTAAATGAATAAATGTATAAAACAATAATGTGGATGGGAAGAAAGGATATTCAAGTTTTTAAAAATGGCAGTAAAGTTAAATATGTTACATCACAAGGAAATGTAGGGGCCAAAATGAATGGTACATCACTGTAAGGATGAAGCCACAGACAGAGACGAAAACTCCACTAGACTCAAAGGCTGGACAGGGTTTGGGGAGGCAGAGTCATGTGGAAGGTCCTGCAGATCAGAGCACTGACCTGGTAAGGACAAGGCCAGAGCACAGAAGGAATGCAGAGAGGGGAGGGGGCTTACTGAGAAGAAGAGCAAGTGGAGAATGTTGCTGGAATTATCCTTAGAAGGTTTACCACTTTTCAAAGAAAACAGAGTCGAGAACTACATTGCCTTTACTTTCAAAGCAATGGATTCTTTACCACAAGTCCTATCACCTAGTTTTGGAAGGGTTCAAGAAGTGGTGAGATTTGGTGAATAAATGGTGAAATAAAATATTCTGCCCTTTTATCCAACTTCTGTTTTCCAGAAGTCATCTTTATGGAATTCCACTTAAACAGTCCTAGGGCAAGGCACCCTTTAGAACAGAATGCTGTTTAAAATGTGGCTCTGTGAAGTTTTTTTTTTTTTGTGTGTGTGTGTGTGTGTGTGTAAAGTATTTTGAACTTCCCCCCTCACAGGGCTGCTTTAGGGTGCTCTTACCACACCTCAGTGAGGGGCAGCAAACCAGACTCATGCCAGGATGCTATCCCTGTGGCTCCAGCAAAAAGAACAGCATCCAAACAAACCAACCCTGATACAGATAATTTTGTTTTTTGGTTTTATCAAGAGATCGAATCCAAAAGACACCTTCCAGGCTCCCGTCTGAGAATTACATCATTCTAACATCCTAGGTTCAAATCTGGGTCAGAAAAATGACTACAGACAACTGTCAGTGAGGCTGCTCTCAGATCTGAGCAGCTCTGAGTTGTACCATTAGCCAACATTTTCCAGCTAAGAAAAAAAATCTAGAGAAGCACTAAAATGGCTGGTGTGTTCTGAAGTCCACTTACAAAAGAGAACTAAAAGCATGCAAGAACCATAGAATAAATTTCTTGGCTCACTGTGGGACTTTTACTGCAATTTGAACCCACATGATTAAAACGGAATTTCGGCTGACTCTCCCAAAATGAAATCCAACAATTTGCACTTGTGATTTGGGAAAGCAACAAAGAAAGGTAGGAATGATTAGTATATTCTTGATTTTATACATATCATCCATTTTAGACATCTAATAGTCCAAGTAAAAGGATGAATAAAACTTTTGATTATATACACTGTCAAAGTTACCAAGGTCAGCAGTTCAAGCCTGTATATGCATATTTCCAGACACTTGCACGTTAAGAATTCTACATTTAGAAACATTAAATTGATGAATTTTCCTATTCAGGCTACCCATGGATTAAATTAATCCTATGACTATCAACACAACACAGTTTTAGAGGGTAGAAAAAAAATTTCTAAAAATGCCTTATAAATAAAAAAGTGGTGGTAGGCATTAGAGGGAATAAAAACAGGCACCGTACCTTTTCAGTAATGATGCGGTTGACACACTGCTTTCCGGTCAGTGGCAATGTACATTTCTCCATAATTTTATGTACATTTCCCTGTTTTAAAGAAGAAATATTGAAAAAAAAGAGGAGCAGTTAGGGAGCAATTCTTGTTTAGAAGTAGAATAACAATAGGACAAACAGGAACTATCAGAGAAATCGTCTCCTAGGTACAGGCTATTTCAAAATGTTTGCACAGTCATGCTTTTACTCTTTCTGGAGACAGCTTCTGTTCCTAAAAGAATATAGGGAGAATACCAAATGAATAGCCAAAGTCATAAACGACTTAGTTGGGAAACACCTTGCTACAAATTGGACTTCTCAAGTCCCAGTCCTCCTATTCTAAAATGAGAAATTTCACTTCTAGTGTCCTGCTTATTTTTCTCTTTCAGGGAAGGGTCTCTTTGACATACATGGCTACTATTCACCAAAGATAGGAAACACACATGAAACACAAATGTATAATACCCTTTATAATGTTAGTTTTGTTAGAAAAGTAAAACATACATGAAAACGGCAGTGCCTACCCTCCCCTTTATAGTTAGACCTGTTCTCAACAGGAACCATTTTACTTTTTTTTTTTTAGCATTTTCTTTATATCTCTACATATTTTCCTGTTACCTCTTCATTTTTAAATATCATGTTTACCATGCTATTTATTTCTTGTTTAATCTATTTTAGACATTATCTACTAACTTCTTATTGTGGCATATGAAGACTTAACTCTCTTATAAAACCCTATTCTCCCCATTCTCTGCAGTTCTTCAGTAGAGCTGGGTCACAATTTGTAGTTAACTTCCTGGTTAGAATGGACATCACTCTCCCTAAATGACCATGTAATACAGTTCACTGCAGGGCCAGGCAGTGTAGTATACCATGATTATATTCACATTCTCATACAGTTATTTGCTTTTCCTGGAGTTTGTCTGAGACTCAGTTTGTTCACATTAGTAAAATGTATGAACTGGCTGAAATCTATATTTTTTCAGTTTCTTTTAGCTACTGTACCCTTTCTTCAAACATAAAATAAAAAAGTATTAAGAGTAAAAAGCATGGTATTTACACAAAGAAAGCAAAAACACCAGCTTGAAAAGATATGTGCACTTCTATGTTTATTGCAGCATTATTTATAATTATTTATAAGATAGGGCAGAAACTAAGTGTCCATCAATAGATGAATGGATAAAGAAGACGTGGTTACATGGTAACATACACACACATACAGAGGAATATTATGCAGCCATAAAAGGAATGGGATTCATGTTATTTGAGACAACATGGATGGACCTAGAGGTTACTATGCTAAGTGAAATAAGTCAGACTGAGAAATACAAATACCATATAACTTCAGTCATAAGTGGAATCTAAAAACAAACAAACAAACATGAATAAACAAAAAGCAGAGTCAGACCTATAAATACAAAGAGCAAACTGATGGTTACCAGATAGGGGAGTACGGGGTTGGCAAAGTCAGTGAAGAAGAGTGGGAGGTACTGGCTTCCAGTTACAGAATGAATAAGTCATAGGAATTAAAGACACAGCATAAGGAATATAAGGAGTACAGTCAATGATACTATAATAGATACATGTATCAGGACAGATGTACATTATGCTATGCTCACCAGAGCATACAAACTTGGTGAATCACTATACTATACATCTGACACTCCTGTAACATTGTGTGTCAACTAGACTAAAAAAAAAAAAAGAAGAATGGGAAGCAGTCCCCTCCCCCCATTATCCCCCTTCCCCACATCCCAGATATAGAGGTGGCCTCTGGGTACATGTATGGAACACAGCTGTAAACATTAGCTCTGATGATCTGATTATGATAATGATTAAACTCTTTTCTAAGTATCAGGCAACAGGAGCCTAAATTAGTATTTCCCTTGAGGCTGAAGGCTACCCCATCATATTATAGATCTTCTATTAAAAAATGGCAAAATGCTTCTATTGTTTCTTTTTGGATCTAAAAACACCACACATGATGTCATCATCATCTTTAGCTATCTGGCTGTTTATGCACCTGCTACCTGGTTTATCTTTCTCTCAAGATTTCTGTCAGACCAAGTATACAGTCATAAGCAAGGACTTTCAGATAACTGTGTTTAAAAGATTTTGCTCCTTGTGATAAACTGTCAATTCACCAATGCACCAGGAATTAAAAGGTTTTAGTGTACTTACCCCAGTGCATGGCATAAAAAGTATTCTGTATTTTTTGAATAAATGAATGGGGAGGAAAATGGAAGGTCTGTTGGGAATCCCAGATGGATTTCAAAAAGACAAACTATTACTCTAATTTAATCAAAATGAGTGCAAAATACATATAGAATAGACATTACACCTTTAATAACAAGTTATAGGCTTCTGAATCTTACTGTATAAGAATATTTATAACTGTAGAAATAAAACCTCATTTTCATTTCATTTTTAATGCTCTATTTTCCCTTCTAGTTTCAAAGAAAGTTTGCACGTGTCAGAGAAGCTTAATTAAAGAGCTGAAATTAATGATGAATATTCAAGCTTGTACAGTTGTCAGGTCTCCTTACATTTAATATAACTCAAATAAGGCATGTCACAATGAATTCCGGGCCTGCCTGGGAACAAAGTGAACAATCTGTGGGCCTCTGAAGAACATTTTTTTGCAGGGTGCTCTTACTTTGTTCTCATTATTTGAGCAAGATCTGCATCTTGTATGAAAGTAACTACTTGGATTTTAATGAACAACCAACTCCATTTTAGGAGGAATTAGGAATTTTAACTGACAGAACTGGCTGCATGCTGCCAGTAGAGACCTTTTATAGACTATCCACTATATAAACAGTATAGCCTATGGTTAAGAGTGTGGCCAGAGCCAAGGAACCTGAAGGTAAAGTCTGGCTCTGTTCCATGCTGGCTGTGCAAAGTTCCTATGCCTGCACTTCCCCATCAGCCTTACCTTGTGGGGTTACTGCAAAATGAGATACAAGTGTCCAGCACTTAACCAGTGCTCAGCAAATGTTTGCTACTATTGTTTATACAAAACATATTTAACATGTCTACTAGGGAATTCCTTAGGAGCTCTTAAACTCCTATTTGAAGTTAGACATGTAATTATGCAGAAAATGGCCTAAGCACAATTCCTGAGACCCAGAGAGCTAATGAAACCATATATGGCTGGCCTAGGATGCAGGCAACAAGGGTATTCTTGCAGTCAGAACAATGTAGCTGGAGGACTCCATTCGCATTTAGCTCTAAGACACAACCCAGATCAAGGAAAAAGAAAAAACAAGAGGCAAAAAAAATAGAAGAATGTCACAATTTCAATATTCAACAACAGATTAGCTATGAAGCCAAAATAGGACTAACCTCTACTTTAGCGCTCTACTCTAACCATGCTGGGCTGAGCCTTACAATGTGGCATGGAAGCTGCATAGATTAATGATTCACAAAGAAGCTGAGCTTTTAACCTTTCAAAATAAATCCTAAAAAAGAGATACAGTGTAGTCCAAAGACTTTTTCTCTTGCATCTGTCTTTGAATGGTCTGTTGGGTCCCTTCAATTCTTTGTGTTGTGGTTTCCTCTATGATGGCCTTGTCTTCTTCCCTGATCCCTGATCACTGGAGGAATTACACAAAACAACTGAAAGGGCAGTAATGTAGGAGAGGTGGAATCTACACACAAATATTTAGCGTCAGTGGGGTCTGGTGCATCCTTCCCATTCTGCTTCTTTCTGTCTTCTCCTGTGAAGAAATGCCAGAAAAAGCAGAGGAGCGAATACAAAGTGCAGCATTAAAAATGTTTTGACTAGCCCCGAAGGCTGATTTCACCATGCCCTTTTCATTTTATTGCTAACTTCATTATAACCTTGATGAAGAACTAAATCTCTTTCTTCCACCTGCTTCTCTCGTTTTTCTCTTCTTCCCCCCTTGATTCCTTACAGACTTCATGCAAGACCTGGGAAGTCACTGTTCTCTTTTTAAATGACTTAGGGTCTCAGTACTTTCTATTATTTGCCTCATGGTGATTTCTCTTTAATTCTTTAGATATCTGTGTGAAATCCTGCACCTAAATTCTTCAGTAACAAACTACAGTTAAATGATAATAAATCCCTTTTGTTATCATGAGGGTAAGCTTCATGTTATCACAATGAACTTAATCCCAAATAAAAAGCTCTCTTTTTCACAACAGGATGATTTTTGCATTTGATATCAGCATTTTATTCACCTGAGGCAACAGAGCGTGCATGTAATAAGATTTTGTTTTACATAAAACACCATCTTACGCCTATCTTTTCTGTTACATGCTTTTTAAATGTGGCTGAACATATTCTTCGTTCAAGAAACTTGTTTGGGAAAGCTCTAATGATCAAGTGCAGAGAAGGCAAATTCTAAAAGTTGGTTCTTTAAGGAACCAAATCTTAAAGCCTTTTTTTGTTCATGCTACCGGAAACAAACACCACCACATACTCCATCACCCCACATTCAAATGGTAACACTCTCCCTATTCTTCAGGACTTACTGCTTGAATATTGTAATTCTGATTGAAGGAACTCCAACAGAGCTAGCGTTGTAAAATACCATGTGACTGAGTATCTAAGGACCACTGGAGGCTGCTTTCTAGTCTCAAGATATTTGAATATTCCCCAACGTATTCGAGCTCACTAGGAGAAGCACAGCCAGCAGAAGTGTGTGACTGGGCTTACAAGACTTTGGGGAGATAAATAAAGGTATGATCAAAGGGAGAAGCAAAGACATCTCAGGACTGCAATATGAAGCATACAAATTTGTAAGTCAAGAGAGAAACAGAGTGAATTATGGTTATTCTATCTTTTCTGGTTACTCCTTCCTAAAGCTTCAGGGCTGGCATTAACTCACTCAAAACAGGGGCTGCATAGGCTGAACTTTTACAAGAGAATATGCAATACTTTGGTGGCACAACGAAACCTATGACAGATCTCTCTTTGGGCTTTTGCCAAAACATCATAAAAGAAGCCTGAATGTCACTGTCCCTTGCGTTTCCTTCTCCCCACTGATCTCAATGCTTAAACCAAGTGAAAAGCAGCTTCTATATTACAG